AGAAAGTGGTGAATTATGAGGACAATGCTGATGTCCCCATTTTCCAAAACGTTGGAAATTACACAGAATGAGATTTGTTTTCTTTCAGAAAGTAAAATACACACTGTTTCCTGTCCTAACCATAACCCAAGTCTAAACCCAACCCTACCCCAACCCTGACCAAACCCTAATCCTAACCCCCTAACCCAACCCTAACCCTAAAAATTAGTGTTACAGTTTATACGTTACAAAAACCTAGGAGAAAGCCTATGTAATGTCCTCACAATTAAAAACAAACCTGTGTGTGTGTGTGTGTGTGTGTGTGTGTGTGTGTGTGTGTGTGTGTGTGTGTGTGTGTGTGTGTGTGTGTCAGTGAATGTGCCGTCTACAGTAACAGAAGCACTGGCGCGTCAGGACTCTCTGCAGGCGTTCAGCAAGAGCCCGAAGGCCTCGTCTGTGGTTCTGCCGCGCTCCATGGTGTTCCCGCAGTCGCCCTGCAGCCGGAGCTTCTCTCTGCTGGACCGCAGCCTCCACAGCGACTCCAGCCTGACCTCCAGCAGCTCCAAGCAGCAGCGCGTGCTGGCCAGCCCCACCTCCACCAGCCAGCTCAGCTCCGAGTTCAGCGACTGGCACCTGTGGAAGTGCGGCCAGTGCTTCAAGACCTTCACGCAGAGGATCCTGCTGCAGATGCATGTGTGCACGCAGAACCCCGACAGGTACGACCGCAGGTACTGCACCGCAACGCAAAATACTCCAATCTTTTCATCTCAATGTCTAGCTTCTAATCTCCATCACGGTTTACTTTTAGTGTGCTTTCACACCTAGACATTTGTTAGGGAACTCTGGAGAGATTCAAATTTAGTAAGAAAAGATGCGATCCAATTACTATCCAACCAGGCTATATCACTGTGTATTATGGATATGTACGTTTACATTTAGTCATTTAGCAGATGCTTTTATCCAAAGCGACTTACAAATGAGGACAAGGAAGCAATTTACACAACTATAAGAGCAACAATGAAGAAGTGCTGTAGGCGAGTTTCAGGTGTGTAAAGTGTAAGAAGCAAAACATTAGTCTTTTATTATTTTTATTTTTCTGTAGTACAGTTAGCGGTGGAGCCAGAGAGGCAATTGCAGATTAGGAAGGGAAGTGGAGACTAAATAGTTGAGTTTTTAAGTGGTTTCTTGAAGACAGCGAGTGACTCTGCCGTTCTGATGCAGTTAGGGAGTTCATTCCACCAACTGGGCAGATTGAATGCGAGAGTTCGGGAAAGTGATTTCTTCCCTCTTTGGGATGGAACCACGAGGCGACGTTCATTCACAGAACGCAAGTTTCTGGAGGGCACATACATCTGCAGAAGTGAGAGCAGATAAGAAGGAGCAAAGCCAGAAGTCGCTTTGTAAGCAAACATCAGAGCTTTGAATTTGATGCGAGCAGCAACTGGCAGCCAGTGCAAACGGATGAGCAGCGGAGTGACATGTGCTCTTTTAGCTTCATTAAAGACCACTCGTGCTGCTGCGTTCTGGAGCAGATGAAGAGGTTTGATAGAGTTAGCTGGAAGCCCGGCTAGTAGAGAGTTGATATAGTTCAGTCTGTAATCGGCATATATAGTTGAATGCAGAATAGTACATACACTCTTAAAAAAAGCAACATAACCATTTTAAGTGTCTGATGGTAAATGATACTAAACGTTTACTATTTTAGGTCTGTCTGGATTACCTAAATGATTTACATTTGCTAAATGCCAGAATATTGAGAGAATTTGTTTTTTGAGGATTGTTTATTAATTTCTAGACAGTCAGACGTTTACACACATTTCCTTGGTATATTTTAGCTTTGCTTTTAAACTGTATAACTTTGGTCAGATGTTTTGAGTCTCCTTCCACAAGCTTCTCACAATAGTTTGCAGGAATTTTGGCCCATTCCTCCTGACAGAATTGCTGTAACTGAGTCAGATTTGTAGGCTGTCTTGCTCGCACAAGCTTTTTCAGCTCTGCCCACAAATGTTCTATAGGATTGAGATCAGGGCTTTGTGATGGCCACTCCAAAACATTCCCTCTGCTGTCCTTAAAGCACATTTGAACTAATTTGGCAGTATGCTCAGGGTCATGGTCTGTTCAGAAGAGACATTTGTGGCCCAGTTGTAATGTCCTGGCTGATGTGTTGAGATGTTGCTTCAGTATTTCTCCATAATGTTCTGTCTTCATGATGCCATCTATTAAACTTCTGCTTTCAACTGTATATGTGGCTATATGAAGAGAGAATCATAAGTAGGGTGGGATGTCATCATTCCTACTGGTAAATGTGTGTTTCATGTCCAATACGAAAGTGAAAACATTGTTTATTGGACTGAGATTACCAACTGCTATTTTCTCCTTATTTAATTCTTACACTACCTGACTAAAGTCTTCTGGTGGATCAGTTGTGAGGGCAACAGATAATAACTGAATCTAGTTGATGAAGTGTAAAAGTGTCAGAAGGTGCATTTCTCTGCTGGATCATCTGCTGATCTGCATCCCAATCATCACCAATACTGCAGAATTCCTACTGGAACCAGCATGGACCAAGATCTCACAGAAATCAGTCAAGTTTGGTGAAGGAGAAATCATGGTTTGGGGGTCATTCAGTAGACCTGCAACATCAACAGCCTGAGGTATCAAGACATCTGTGCTGCCCATTACATTACAAACCACAGGAGAGGGACAATTCTCCAGCAGGATAGCTCTCCTGCTCATACTTCAGCCTCCACATCAAAGCTCCTGAAAGCAGAGACTTCTCCAGGATTGGCCAGCCCAGTCACCAGACATCAACATTATTGAGTTAAGATGAAGGAGGAGGTGTTGAAGATGAACCCAAAGAATCTTGATGAACTCTGGGAGTCCTGCAAGAGCGCTTTCTTTGCCATTCCAGATGACTTTATTAATTAGTTGATTTGAGCAACCCCGGCTCATTCTGAAATGTAGTCCCGTGGACGTTGCCGGGAGGTGTGTAATTTTGCAGTTTTTTTCCACGAATCCGCGAGAGGCTGCTGTTCGCTTTTTCCTATCTCAAATGTCTCTCACAAGTGCCAATCGCACCCGCTGTTCTTGAATAAACCCACCAGAGGCCGTCTGTCTGACTGACTGGCCGGCCGAACAATCCAATCAACTGACCCACCCTCCTGCTGCCCTAAACCCAAACCAATATTATTAATTTACCCGCCCACCGACTTCCTTAAACCCAACTGACGGTTTACAAAAGTCGTCCCGAAAAAGAAAAGCCCTCGTCTGATTTTACCATGTTTTCAGATTTGACCACATTCTCACCCTGTTGTTCACTCGTTCGTTTTATTTTTTGGATTCTGTTTTTGTCTTACCTGATTTCTGGAATCGCTCTTCCCCGGACTCAAACCCCGTCATCGTGGTCAACTCCTCTCTGCGTCTCAAGTCCGCCGACGTACACGATGAGCTAACGGGACAAACTGGTTGCGGCGAGAAACCCCTCCACACGGAGGTAAGCGGTCAGCTGGTAAGCGCAAAAAGGAGTGGCGTCACACTGCCCCATAGCGTTCGCTTATGCCTAGTTCACACTAGAGGATTTTAAGCCTGATTTGAGCCCGATTTGGAAGTTAACGAGCTCGAAGAAATCTGCGGGTGCTCGGCGCTCGCCGCTCTTTATGTGTGAACTACTGAACAACGCATCAACGAGGCTCGCTGACGCGTCGCCGACACCTCGCAGACGGAAATCCAACATTCAGCATGCTGAATATTCCAGAGCAGTCGGCCGACTCAACCCCACGTGTGGTCAGATGTAGTGACGAGCTGCAGCCAATGAGAGAGCAGATCAGCATGAGCTGAATGCCTGTGTGTTCAGGAGCTCAGCAGAAACATCTGTGATTGGTCAGAATGGGCATCGGTGCACTCGCTTCATTCTGCGTTAGCACAGACATGAGAGGAGGATATATTAACAGTGGACTAGAATTCTGTAACTATTAGAATTACCATACTGCTCATTCTGACCGTTCTCATATAAAACACCATACTGTCACAACATATTTACATTCAAAGCTGTTATTGAGATATTAAAATTAAGCTTTGAATGTCTGGCATCATATTTAATAACACCATTACCCTAAAAATATCATCTTTTTTTGCTAATACAGCCTATAAATATGTAGTTAAGATACTAAAACACTTAAAGGTCTTGGCTTTCATTTTCACTTTCAAACAGGAGCTATTTCACAGCACAGAATCTGCTGTTTTGAAAGATATCTGAAGTAAATTGATGTTTTTGCCATCAGAAAGTTTTTTTTGTATTAGCAGGAAGTTGCTAGGCAAAAAAACGCACACATATTTAAAGTTTCAGCTGATTTGACGATGTTTTTAAATGCTTTCTCCAAAACTTGAAATGCTGTCAGTGATGTCATCAGCACACAAGCAGCCAATAGTGTTCAGCTTTTTCTGCTGACTCCTCCCTCAAATTTTCATTGGCTGTGGTTTGGTAGCTTGAATGAGCTGATGGGGAATGAGTTGTTGTCAGATCATGTAGTGTGTGACCCCCCTCTTGTGGATCGTTCACGGAGTGTTGCGTAGTGTGAACACCACAGAGATCAAAAGACACAAAGTCAAGTCTTGTAGTGTGAACAGCACAGCGATCTGCTGATGTTTAAAATCCTGTAGTGTGAACTAGGCTTAAAATAAATTAAGTGCAGCCACTGTCACAAAGTCAGTACACTGGATCCAATTGCAAATAAAAGTTTATTGACAAGTTCATAGAACAAATCAACTGGACAGCAGATAGCCAGAACCCAGGCGATGGCAGCGTACGAATCTCACAAAAATCAGCGAGACCTGAGGACACAGGACAAACACATGAACGGACTGAATGCTAAAGACTGGCGAACGAAGTCCTTAAAGAGGCAGTCATAACAGGCATCAGCTGTAGCTGTAATGAATCAGCTGATTGTCCCCACGCTGTCAGGGAAAAGGTAAACAAACACACCCACTCAACGAACACAACAACAGAATGAGAGCACCGAATCATGAACCGTGCACCTCCGGCATAATTCGCGTTCTCCAGAAACGTCCACGGGACTACGATTTGAGAATGAGCCTGTGTTGGATGTGAGTCAGTGCAGAGATGTATGGATGCAGTCCTCCAAGCTCATGATGGAGTCAGACACAATATTCATTCTGTCTCCACTGCAGCAGGACTTTATATTCTCTACTGGACATTATTTCTGTTCAGTGATGAGACTTTAGTCTGAGCAGAGTCAGAGCGCACTGTCCTCATCAAATCAGTCAACATCAAGACATGATCAGATTTATTGAGCTCAAAT